CTTTTTTATGATTATTTTTATTACTTTTGGTTTTTACTATAAGGCACATGTGCTCACCAGAGATATGAGGAGGGAGAGAAAGTGAACAATCATGCCGGGGGTATGGCCATGCCATAATCCCTTCTTCTTTAGCCTCTCAGGATTTGGGACCTGTACACACATGACTGGTGTGATTTCTGAAGCTGCCAATCCAAATTTTCAAGCTGCTTGTTCAAATTGTGCAGCCTATAATGTGGGATCCAGCACCTTGACCTCCACGCCACCTGCTAGCCCAGAATACTCTTTTGAACACATCAATCAGATCAAGTCAACACTCTGATGGAAACTTACAAAGACTTGCTGTTCAAACAAAAGTAGTACAAGCCAAAGTGCTTACAATGGCCTACAAGGTCCTATGTGATCTGGCCCCTTGACCCCTCAGATCTCTTCTACTCTCCCTGGCTATTCAATTCTAGCCACTCTGCACTCCCCAGTGCTCCCAGGAGTAACTGGTAGGCACTGTCTGTTTTGGGGTATTTGAACTGTTTCCTCTGCATACAACACTCTTTTTTTCAGATACCCTTTTACCCCAGCCCTCCTGATCCCCTCATCCTGCTCTATGCTTTCTTCCTGCTCTCATTCTTATATTTTTGTCCCCAGCCTCCACGAGAATGTAATGGCAAGAACCTGGACCTTTCCTTACTTTGTTCACTAAAGACCACGTGCCCATCTAGAGAGCAGTGACTGACCCCTGATTATCTCCCGTGAGTCTCTCCCCCAGCTTAGGTGACAGGAACTCCATCCAGAGTTGATGACCACACACTGTTACTGATTAACTTGGATTGTCATCATTTTGGACTACGATTAGACTAGCATTTCAGTTTTAATATGGTAATCACAAATACTTTTTTCCCTATGCATTTGTTTATTTGTATAAGGTTGTATATAACAAAAAACAAAAAACAAAAAATATTTGTAATAATAACTTACAGATACAAACTAATGATAAATTACAACAACAATCACAATTATTTTAAGGGCAATACTCATGTGACTGCTCTTTGCCCCACCTTAATTATCCTGGTGTGCTAAATGTGATAGGATCTCGAACACCATAGGCCTCCCATCCTACACAAACACCCACATCCAGTCAGTCAGGAAATCCTTTTGGTTCCACCTTCAAAATAATTGCTAAATAATTTTATGTTGAAGGAAAGACTGATTGATTGACCCTTGTGACATTAGCTAATAAAATGACCCAATTTTAGTATTTATAATCCTTTTACATATGCCACATATTGACACCCTGTGAACCGCATACATATGCATGAATAGAATTTCTAAATATTGGGACCAGCAGTTAGCGTAATGGCTATGTCACTGGACTCCCATGTAGTCGCCCGTGGTTTGAGTCCCGGACCTGGTGGCTTAAACTCATGCCAGGCGCGTGTGTGTGCATGCCCAGGATCCCAAGAGGAGAATGGAGGAGAGGGGACTGCGGCATGGCCATCCCCCCCGGGGGGGGGGGGTGATTTCTTGCTTTCTGTCTCTCTGTCTCTCTCTGTCTGTCTGCGCCCTATAGCAAAAACCTCTCCAAAATAAGGAAAAAAAAAAGAATTTCTAAATATTATTATTGAATCATTAGTCTGGTTTAATGTCTGCTTTGTGTGAACTTCATTAACTTCCTAAGTATTTGGACTGTGTGCAAGATACTTTATAAATCTTATGGTTTCAGTGTAGTTCTTCTTCTAGTTAGAAGGGCTCAGTAAGTGTTGGTAATAAAAATAGTGACTTCACAATCTGTAATCAAAGTCAGAATTTACAGTTCTTAACAGCTTATTTAAAAGTCAGTTCAAATCAAGGCAGCAGGTGAAATGGAGATTGGGGCACTGGACTCCCATATGGCCAACCACGGTTTGAATCCTGGACCCAGTAGCTTCTTAAAACTCATGCCAGGCCTGTGTGCATGCACGCCCAAAATCCTGAGAGGAGAATGGAGGATAAGGGATTGTGGCATAGCTATGCCCCCCTGGGGTTGCTTTCTCACTTTCCTTCTCTCTGTCTCTCTTCAATAAGCACACATGCCCTAAGGCAAAAACCTTAAAAAAATGAAATAAAAAGTGTAAAAGATAAGTCCATTTAAATCAAGCATTTTTGCAACTATACTAGGAATTCTACTGGAGCCTGAAGATTAGCAAAATATATGTCTCAAGACACATGTAGTCTGATAAAGAACACAGATATTTAAATAATTTTAATACAATGTGATAAAGGAAATATTGACACAAGGTGAGAGTAATTAAATCTATATGTCAAAGAAGGACAAGAGTGAATTAGAGTTCATCAGGGGCACATCATAGGGAAAAGACATCCCAAGCAAGGAAGAAATTGGCAGAGACTATTTTCTGTTTATTGCGAAGCTTCTATTCTTAATGATTAGTGATATTACTTTTGGCCAAAAAAGAGGGCAAGTGGGAAGAGAGATTCAGTTTATGAACCAGAATGCATACTTTGGGTAAGGACCTGGATTAAACTGTTTCCAGATTCCCTGCAAAATTTTGATACATGATAACTGAAATGATCAAAAAAGGACTATATTTAATTAGTCAAGTTTTGACTCAATGCTTTTGGCAAGGTTTGCATGAATAATACTATTTCAAGAGTCTGGTGCCAAAACTAAAATATTAATAGACTGTGTTAAGATTTAAATCTAGTCATAAACATGTCTCCAAAATGCATGTTAATTAGGGGAAAAAAACTTTTGAAGCCATTTCTTTCTGTGAACCATTAGAACTGCGAACAGCTACAATCTGTCTTTGCATTTTCCTTGAAAGTGAAATCACAAAACAACAAAGAACAAAACTGCCTGTTTCTATACAACACCCCGGGTATAATTCTGTTGTAACTCTGTTTTAGGACATTTTGACCACTTGTTATGGCAATATTTTCTTCTGGGATGTGTAAATTGGTCTAGACATTCCTTTTCTAACAGGCCTGGGCAAATACATTCACATCTTTACGGAACTAAAAACAAATAACAAATTTTACCTTTCCTTAAGAAGGGTGTACTTCTGTTGACATTCTTTAAGCTATTTTTAAAAATAGAACTGGATTAGAGTGCTGACTCTAGCAAGAACTAGGCAATTACCTCTGGGAGCCTGTGTTTCTCTACCTGTTAAATGGAAATAGTAAGACTTGTTTATCACAGAAAGTAGTTGTGAGGCCCAAGGAGACAACAGATCTGAAAGCACATCATAGACCCTGAAACACCATACACAAATGAAAGCTCATATATTAGGCTCACCACAGAACTTTTCACAATAGCCAAAAAAGTAGAAACGATTCAAACAGATGAAGGGATAAATAAAATGTTGCATAGCCACACAACGGAATATTATTCAACCATAATCAGGAATTGTTAGGGTGATCTCTGCAATACATTCGGGTGGCCTTGGTCATGGACTGTGAAAGGATTTACAAACTCAGAAAGTGGAGAGAAAAGAATGTATTCACTTTCCAGCAGTAGAAACTTAAGATAGAAACTTTAAAAAGCAATAGTTAACCATCTATGATAAGGTCAAGGACAGGCCAGCTAGCCCAGCAAAGAGAATGAATGTTTGAAGCACTTGGGAGTTTTAATGATCCTTCCCCATGAAAGCATCAGTAAAGCCCATTGAATCATCCCGGTGCCAAGGAGACACAGTGTTAAACCTTTCCAATGCCTTAAGGTGGTGGGTGACTTTTAACCCTTTCAGGAATGAAGTACTGATACATGATACCACATAGATGAGCCTTGGAAACATGTAAGTGAAAGAAGCCAGACAGAGAAAGTCACATTTCTATGATTCCATTTGTACTGAAATTCCCAGAATAGGTAAATCTATAGACACAAAAAGTGGGTTAGTGGTTATCTGGGGCTGGGGCAGGGAAGGACTGGAGAGTAAATACTAATGGATAGAGGGTTTTAGGGTTTAGATAATAGTTCGTTTCCCAAAGGTTCATCATGTTGGGACTTGGTTATATTGTAAAAGTGCAAGGAAAGTGCAATGATGAATGAAAGCTTAATCTCTTCATGGTGCCTCAGGGTGTAGCTTTGGGATGTGATTAAAGTCAACAGGGTGGGGCCCCCATGATTAGGTTCTGGCAGTATATAAGGAGAGCTGGAGCAGACAGAGCCCATATGGATACAGACAGGAACCTGTAGACAGCGGAAGTTGTGGATAGCTGCTGTACTCAACAGCTTGCCCTCCATCACACTGTAGGCTCATTAGAAATTGGCCCCAAGACCTCGCACTTCTACATCACGAGCTGGGTAAACCTCTACTTCTTTGTAAAGCTCCCAGTTTCAGGCATTTCAGAATGCAATAGCAGACCAGACAAGGCTTGAGGAAGATGTGTTGAAATTAGACAGTGATGATGGCCATACAGCTCTATGACTATACTAAGAACTACTGAATTAATATACTTTAAAAGGATAAATGGGTGATATATGAATTATGTCTACATTTTAAAAATTATACAAAGCAAATATGATATTCAAACATTTAATCATTGCTTGGGATTCTCTGGATTTGCAAGTTAGGTGTCCTTCTGTGACAAAATAGTATAGTCCTTTTTATTCCCCCCCAAAACTTTTTTTTTTTTTTTTGGAGAGATTTTCGCTATAGGGCGCGTGTGCTTGCCAGACAGACAGAGAGAGACATAGAGACAGAAAGCGAGAAATCACCCTCCGGGGGGGATGGTCACACCGCAATCCCTTCTCCTCCATTCTCCTCTCAGAATCTTGGGCACGCGCCCGGCGTGAGTTTTAAGCCACCAGGTCCAGGACGCAAACCGCGGTCGACTATGTGGGAGTCCAGCGACATAGCCATTACGCTAACTGCTGGTTCCCTTCAAAACTCTTTTCTACAAAGTACTTTGAGGTTCCCAACCGGGCTTCTGGACAATTACTGAGGTGCATCAGAGACAAGTTTCTGGAGCAGTGCATTCTCTGCTGATTCCTCCTGACTTGAGAAACAGCCATGTCATTAGAATCAAGCAAAAAATGGGAGCCCAGAGTGATCCAAAACAATGGAGTTCCAGCTGAAGGAAAGCAGAATGGATCTGACTCTGAGAAGAAACATAAATATTACAGTGAAGAATCCGAGGTGGACCTGTGGGACCCTGGTGGAGACTGTGAGCTGTACAAGCACACATGCCAGGAGCTATGGAGGCTGATGGCTGAGATCCAGGATCTGAAGAGCAGGGGCAGCAAGGATGCGGCAGTTGAAATTGAAAGACAGAAGATCCAGAGCTGTGTGCATTTCATGACTCTGAAGAAGCTTAACCGATTAGCCCATATCAGGTTGGAGAAAGGAAGAGCTCAGACCCAAAAGGCTAAGCAGAAGGTAGATGCCTATCACCTGCAGCTACAGAACCTGATATATGAGATGATGCACCTGCAGAAGGAGATGACCAAATGTCTGGGGTTTAAGTCTAAACATGAAGAAATTGATCTGGTCAGTTTAGAGGAGTTCTACAAGGAGGCTCCACCAGATATCAGCAAGGCTGAAATCACCATGGGAGATCCTCACCAGCAAATGTTGGCATGTCTGGAATGGGAGCTGGAGCAGCAGAAAAGGCTGGCAGAGAAGTACCGAGAGTGTCTGTCCAACAAGGAGAAGATCCTTAAGGAAACTGAGATGAAGAAGAAGTATCTGAGCAGCCTCCAGCCTTGCCTCAACAGCATTAGGCAGGCTTCCCTCCCGGTGCAGGAGTACCGGTTCCTGCCATTTGACCAGGCTCACCAGCAGTCTGAGACAGCCAGACACCTGCCGTCTCCCCTCTATGTCCTCTTTGTCCAGGCCACTGCGTATGGAGAGGCCTGCGATAAGATGTTGTCTGTGGCAATTGAAGGCAGTGTGGCTGAAGCCAAGGCCCTGCTCAAGCCTAAGGACTTCCAGGATGACGAGAGTAACCCGGATGCTGAGGAGGAACACACCTCAAAATGCCAGCAATCCATGCTGAAGTTTCAGTTAAATGACAAGAGCAAGGAGATGCTGAGGAGGCACCTGCTGTCTATCAAGCTCGACCTCAAGTGCAAAGATGACAGTGTGCTTCACCTGACTTTCTACTACCTCATAAACCTCAACATCATGACAGTAAAAGCCGAAGTGACAACTGCCACAGAGCTGATCACCCCCATCAGTGCAGGTGACTTACTGTCTGCTGACTCAGTCCTGAGCTGTTTGTATCCTGAGGATCATGGGGGAAAAAACCCGAATCCAGCCAATCAGCACTGGCTTGATCAAGTTGGCATCCCAATTTTGAGAGACTATGTACTTGACCTAGGTCACCCCTGCTTGTGGGTACAGAAGCTGGGTGGCCTCCATTTCCCCAAAGAGCAGTCCCAGCACACAGAGATTGTTGACTCCTCGCTGAGCTCCAGCCACATGGAGAAAACCATGAAACTTCTGAAGACCAGGGTGTGGTCTCGCCTGGCCCTCCACAAATAGTTTGCATCTCTTGAACATGGCATTGTACTTGTTACCTGCAGTTACCAGCACCTCTTCCCTGCCAAGGTTGTCTCTCACTTAGTGAAGTGGATGACAATTGCCCGCGAGGATTACGTGGAGCTGCATTTCACCAAAGATGTTGTGGAGGTGGGACTGGCTGGGGACACCAGTCTCTACTACATGGCACTCACTGAAAGGGGCACGGCAAAACTCCAAGCTGCTGTGGTGCTGAACCCTGGGTACTCCTCCATCCCACCCATTTTCCGGCTCTGAACTGGAAAGGGAAGAAAACCAACAGCAGCAATGAGAATATTCAGGTCATGGAGCGCGAGGTCAACGTGTACTACAAGGACCTATGCGGCCTTCCGCCCGGCCACCAGCTCTTGACCAACCAGCTGCAGCGACTGTGTGTGCTGCTAGATGTCTACCTGGAGACTGAGAGCCACGATGACAGCATGGAGGAGCCCAGAGAATTTCCCCAGGACAAGATGTGTCTGTGGCTTTTCAGGGGTCCCAGCAGGATAAAGCCATTCAAATACAGCCACCCTCAGGGGCTCTTCAGCCATGGCTGACTTCTATCTCTGTCCATAGTTCCCCCAGATCTCTGCCTTCTGCTCTGGCCCACCCAGGGATCCTGATGTTCTGCAAAGACACACTAGTCAATTAAAGGGTCACCTGACCAAACAGAAAAGAAAGCAGGGATAGCGGGAGAGGTCGGAGTTCATAAATCTGACTGTACGTCTTAATAAGAACTGCTTCCTCTGCCCTCGGGGCGGGGTATATTGTCACACCACTTTTCAGTTAAAGGTGCACTTAGTATTTCTTTCCAGTCAATTTTACCTGCACAATAAAAGCCCCGTGTGTACACATGCCTGTGTGTTTCTTTACCACTGTGTGTTTGTGCATATACCTGTCTTTGTGTCTGTGTATCTGCAAATAAGGGGAAAACGTGGGCAGAACACAGTTTGATCAGGACTCATCACCCTACCACAAAAGTTCACCAGGTTCACATGGTTTAGAATTTTTCCCTTAATTTTGAGAAATTTTAATGGGTTAAAAAAAATCTGGGGACCAGCAGTTGGCATAATGGCTATGTCCCTGGACTCCCATGTAGTAGACTCTGATTCAAGTTCCAGACTTGGTGGCTTAAACTCATGCCGGGCATGTGCACGTGCGTGCCCAAGATCCCAAAAGGAGAATGGAGGAGAAGGGATTGCGGCGTGGCCATCCCCCCTGGGGGGTGATTTCTCGCTTTCTGTCTTTCTGTCTCCTGTCTTTCTGGTGAGCTCATGCACCCTATAGCAAAAACCTCTCCACAAAAAAAAACCCCCCCAAAAAAAAAAAAAAAAAAAAAAAAAAAAAAAAAATCTTTCAGCAGAAGATGACAATCAAAAATAAAACATTAAAACTCACTAGGGTCAGCCAGTGGTTTGGTGATTAAGGTGGTTGGATCCCACATGGCTGACTGCAGTTCAAGTCCTGGGCCTAGCACATTGAAAAACATGCCAGGTACGTGTATTTATGTATCCTCTCTTCTCTTGGTATTTTGGATGCACACACACACTCAAACTGCAGTCTGCCCACGTAGGATTTTTGCTATAGGGTGCATGAGCTCACCAGAAAGACAGGAGACAGAAAGACAGAAAGCGAGAAATCTCGAGAAGAATGGAGGAAAGGGGACTGGGATGTAGCCAAACCCCCTGCAGGGTGCTTTCTCATTTTCCCTCTCTCACTTTGTCTCTCTTTCTGGTGAGCTCACGCACCCTGTAACAAACTAAAAAAAAAAAAATTTTTTTTCACTAAAATCACATACCATCATAGTAAATATGATGGTATAAATATTATTTCCCATCCACAACTACTTTCAAACAAAAGGGAATGTAATTTCATTTAGTTTGGTCATTTTGTAACAACAAATAAGAAATACAAATCAGACCAAAAAATGTGTTTGGTAAAATCGTGGCACAAATTTCACAGAAAATGAATTTCTATGAAAATTTGCTATTATACTCATTTAATTTGCCATTATACTAATTACTAACCTTTACCACCCAAAGGAATAGCAAGGAGTATTACATTAATAAAATGTTTTAAAAATAGGTTTTTGAAGATTAAGTATAGATGTGAAAATGAAAACAAGTTTAAAACCAACATAGAAAAAATGCTTGTTCCCATCTTTATTTGTATGCAAACATAAAAAGAAGGCAATACTTGGAGGCTGTTAATACAGGCTCTCTGTAGGAGGGCGTGTGAGGAGTGGTCTTAGCTTTTACAAGCTTGACTGTGTTTTCTGACTTTTCTATAAAAAAAGATTTAATAAAAGCGGAGTTCTTTTATAATAAAGAAGATATTGCAAATAAAAACACTGTCATTGATTTACAAAACGGTGCTCCTCTAAATAAGGCCAGCTTCTCTGTGATTTTAGGAAGATTGATAGAAATTCATAATAAAGCAAAGATAATCTGATCAGACTAAATAAGATACATACAAAGTGAGTCTGTTGAAGACAGAAATGTGTTAAATCATTTATAGAGTTTGACTAGATTTTTCTGTTTCCAGCTTTTTGGTGGTCATTAGGGACTCAGCCTAAATTATAAAATGCTTTTAAAGAAATTCTCTTTTTTGCATTTTACAATGAGTTTTTAAAAATAACTTGTAGGGCCATCCCCAGGGCCTGCTAGTTCAGGGAATCAAATCCCACATGGCCAACCAAGTGGTTCAAATCCTGGCCCTAGTAATTTGAAAAGCATACCAGGTGCTTGTGTGTGCCCCAAATCCTGGCAGATGAATGGAGGAGAAGGAATTGCAGTGTGACTTGTCCCAGTGGGGAGTGTTTTCTCCCTCTCCCTCTCTCTGCCTCTGGCATGTGTACATGTTCTCTGACAAAAAAAAAAAAAAAAAAAAAAAGTTGCGGTTGAAAAAAAAAAAAAAAAAAAAAAAAGTTGTAACTAGGACATTTTTTGTTAATGGTATTAACTTTTGATTTATAAAGTAAGTAACATTTTGTTTATGCAAGTATTTGCATTAATAAAATCAATTTTCACAGCACAAAAGTTAAGGTTCATTCTGTTATGTGTACAAATATAATAATCTAACCAGATTCTTAAATAACTGTTAAATGTAAAGAATAATAGTCAATACACGTAGACTATCTCCTCCTCAACAATATCTGTTTGACAAGAATTGATCTTTTGAAATACTGGAACATAGCTTTCCTGTATAAGAAATAACAATTTATCGGAGTCAGCACTAGACACTAGAGTGGTGGTAAGGCACAAATCCTACGTGGGCAGACTGCAGTTTGAGTCCAGAACCCAATGACTTGAAAAATATGCCGTGTGTGTGTGTGTGTGTGTGTGTGTGTGTGTGTGCATCCAAAATACCAAGAGAAGAGAGGAATATCAACCCCCGAGGAGTTGATTTCTTACTTTCCCTCTCTCTCTCTCTCTTTCACTCTGATGAGTGCACATACACACACACACTATGACAAAAAAAAAAAAAAAAAAAAAAAAAAGGAAAGAAAGAAAGAAGAACTTAAATGATCAGAAAAATTTTTTGAGAGGTTTTTGCTATATGGCACGTGTGCTCGCCAGACAGACAGACAGATAGAAAGCGAGAAATAACACCCTGGGGCGGGGAGATGACCACGCCACAATCCCTTCTCCTCCATTCTCCTCTCGGGAACTGGGGCACACACACACACGCGCCTGGTATGAGTTTTAAGCCACTGGGTCTGGGACGCGAAACGCGGTCGACTACACGGGAGTCCAGCAACATAGCCATTACGCTAACTGCTGGTCCCTGATCAGAAAATTTTAACTGTAAATTACGACTAAACAAAACTGACATCAAGGATTTATTCAGGAATTTGTCATACCTACTCACACAGATAACTTACACTTGTGTTGTAATTATTGAAACATTATTCAGGACCAGCAGTTGGCATAATGGGTATGCCACTGGACTCCCACGTAGTTGACCATGGTTCGAGCCCCGGACCTGGTGACTTGAAATCATTCCAGGTGCGTGTGCATGCATGCCCAAGATTCCGACAAGAGAATGGAGGAGAAGGGATTGCAGTGTGTCCATCCCCCCTAGGGGGGTGATTTCTCACTTTCTGTCTCTCTGTCTCTCTCTGTTTTTCTCGTGAACACACGCGCTCTATAGCAAAAACCTCTCCAAAGGAAAAAAAAAATATTATGTGAAATAGCAAGTAACTGGATGTGACCAAAATATTCATCAGTTTCTTGACTGGTTAAGTTAAATTAGGATAGATTTAAATGATAGGCTATTGTGTATTCATTAGGAAGATTCAAGTAGCTTTCCAAGATATAGTCTTAAGTGAAAAATATAAAGTAAAAGCCAATATATATTGCAAGATTGAATTTATGTAAAACACCAAAAAAGGATATATATCCAGGTCCATATATGCATTAAGAATATCTGAAAAGACATCTAAGAAAAAATAGTTACTTCCAAAGACAGAATTTAGAAGTATGTTTTGTTTGTTTGTTTAATTTCCAGAGGGCACATACACTTACCAAAGACAGAGAGAGAGAAAGCACTCTCCATGGTGCCTGGTCACAACTCGAACCTTCTCCTCCATTTCTCCATCCTGTCAGGATTTGAGGCACATACACAAGCACCTGGAGTGTTTTTCAGGCTGTCTGGACCAGAATTCAAACTGTGATCCCCCATGTGGGATCTGAATCCCTTAACCACAAGGTCACAGGGCCAGCCCTGGAAATAGGGTTAATTAAGATTGAATTTCATATTATAGTTTATCCCTTTTATGCTGTTCAATTGTAGGTTTTATGTATTTCTTTTATAACAAGATTTTTAGGAACTCACACATCTAGTAAAAGTTCAGTCTAATTTGCTAATGTCTTATATAAGATTATTTAAAACTTAAAAATTTTATCTACAATGATGCCTTAGAAGCGCTGTCTAAATCATTAAAGATAAACTAAGTTTAATATGGGTTTAGGTCAAACATATTTTATTATGTTCTAATTCTAGGAAATGTATTATATATAACATATATATGTATATGATAATAGTTGGTAACTCAACCAGAAAACTCCCTTCCTCAAACATTTTGAATCAATATGCATACTCAAAATGGGAAGAATTTAATGTAGTTTTATATGAAAACTGAACTTAATTATATAGCATTCTATTGTTATTTACTTATGCTATTCGTTTTTGGTGGTATCTCTGTCTACATTATGTTTTATGTCTAATCTTGCCCATTGCATTACATTTCCCTTGGGGCAGGTGCTCAGCTCACATGTACTACAGCCACTAACACACAGAAGGCACTCAAGCTTTCTGAACATCTGAAAGACTAAAATAAAACCAGTGTCATGTATGACACAGTGTATGTTCTTGATGTGCTTGATATCCTTGATATTCTTGGGTCTTACTCTCACGGCATGACTCCAGTGAGAGTAAGAAAAAATTCAGGACTCTGAAGATTCAGAACACTGAATTTTATACCATGTAATGTTTAATGTTATGTGCAAATTCAGCTAAACCACAGGGTACCCAGATATTTGGTCAAACATTATACTAGGCCCAGCTGTGGTGTGCCGCTGCTTGAAAAGCTGGGCGCTGTGTGTGTGTCTGTGATTGGGGGTGCAGGTGCTGAATAAGGTTCCCAGGCAGGGCTGAGCTGACCAATTGCAACTGCCTATGATCCTGTTTGATTGGCAGTCTAGGGAAGGAGGATCAAGACGCCAGTGAGATCTTGTCAAGGGTGTCTCTCTGTGTCCTCTGTCTGTCTCCTCTCACTCTCTCTGTCCTCTTCTCTCTCTTTGGAAAAAAAAATATTGTTTTGAGTGAGTCTGTGGGTGAAATTAATATGTTGAATCTGAGTAAGGCAGGTTGCCCTCCCTAATATGAGTGGGTCTCAGTCAGCTCAAGGCCTGCATAGAACAAAAAGACTGACACTCCCCCAAGGAAGAGAGAACTCTTCCTGCCGGGCTGCCTTTGAACTGGGGCATCATTTTTTTCCTGTCTTTGAAAAAGATGAAACATTATCTTTTCTTGTGTCTCAGGTCTATTGGCCTTTATACCAGCACTGCAGCATCAGCTCTCCTGGGACCATAGGTTGAGACATGTCAGCCTCCATAACTGCAGTTCCTTACAATAAATTGTGTGTGTGTTTGTGTTTGCGTGTTTGTGTATGTGTGTAGCCTACTGGTTCTATGTCTCTAGACAACCCTAAAACATACCAGATTCAAGGAAATACCCCAGAAGAGTTGGAAAACCAGATAAGGCTATTTTCCAACTCTGACAAGTAGCTTTTCCTCATAAAAAAAAAAAAAAAACATTGTCAGGGCTGGGCAAAAATGGCTTAGATGTGGACTCTAACACTTTATTAGAAATAATACTAAAGAAATCTGTCTAGGGGCCAGCAGGTGGTGTGGTAGTTAAGGTGCGAGACTCCCACCTGCCCTACTGCAGTTCAAGTACTGGACCTGGTGGCTTAAAAATCACGTCAGTCATGTGTGTGTGCATGTCCAAAATCCTGAGAGGAAAATGAAGACAAAAGAAGGGATTGAGGCATGGCCATGCCCCCTGGGGGGTGATTTCTCACTTTTTCTCTCTCTTTCTCTATCTCTGGCAAGCACTTACACCCTGTGGCAAACACATTGAAAAAATAAACAAAACTGTCTATGCTAGCTTCACTTATCCTATTTGTTTCACATTTTCTTAAAAGAATCTCAAATTTGTCATATAAAATAGCAGCTAATATTTACTGCTCCCTCTCTTATGTTATATATGCACAAATATGAATTGTATTTAAAGATTTACTTATAAGTAAATGGATTTGCTAAACCATGAGAAGAGATTGACTTATAATGCATATCTTTATAGTATGGTAGATACCTGCGAGCATGGTGAATGATACATGTATTCTGCAGGTGAGTTGGAGGAAATAATACCAACCAAGCAGTAGTTGGGGTAAATGCATTGGACCCAGGATTGTTTTTACTCCATTCAATTACAACTGGAAAAGAAAGATGTTAAAAAAAAAACCTCAAAATGTATTAGTCCTCTTGGCATTGAAGGGGAATCAGGGACACACTATCCTACTATCAAAAGGAGTTTATCTCGCCACTTATGAGGGAGGTCAAAGACATCTGCAAATATCTGCGAAATAGGCAATATTTTGAGGAGGAGATTAAACTTTCAGGAAAAGGTTCAATTTGGTGATAAAGTCTAAAGGAAAGGGAGCATAGGCAGAGCCAGAGAGCATATATGCATGTAAGTGGATAGTGGAAATTACAAAATCGTAGCAGTGTTCTCCTATGCATGGCTTCACTGGACACATACAACATCTCCAGGAGGTGATGGTGATGATCTTGTTTTACCAATGAGAAATGTAAGGCTTGGAGGTTTCAGAAGTTTTAGAATCTAAGACTCCAAATCAGGGCCACACAGTATCTTTCATCCACATCTATTTTCTGTCCTGCTTTTCTGGGCTATTCTTATTGTGTTCATTATCTTCTATGCAATTCCAAGATATAGATCATTGTTTATTTCCCAACAAAAATGAAATGTTCTGTAACCTCTGAGGTTGATGTTCTTCCTCTCTTTCTCCCTCGGAGATAGTCTCTGTCTGAAGGAAGCTTCTTCTGGCCCCTGGTAGCTGATGGTATGGGCCCTATGTTCTTACGAGTGATGAGGAAAAGGGATGAAAGCCATGCTGCCCCTCTTTCAGATGCTGTCTTGAGCACCTTTGGCTGAAGTGAGTGTTTGCAGGACTGCTTGAAGTGTTGAGCAGAAGCATGCACACAGAACTGAAGACCATTGGTATGGAGGGCTTTAAAAAAATTTTTTTTTTAACTTGAATCTGAAGGCCTTTAGGTGAAACATACTTGGCTACCTCTGACATTTCAGATATTCTGGGGTCCTTGAAGACATTTAAGTTTGTAGTTCCAGAAGCACATGGGTTCTGGGTTTATTCCAAAGCTGCATTGAATAGAAGAATAAGGAGATGGAAGTGGGATCAAACATTGTACTCATCTTCCAAACGCTCAGTTTTCTTAAACCTTACTATGACAAAGATTTCCTGCCTTATATTCTTGAATAAATTAGGAGTTGAAGAGATTTTCAAATTCATGCATATTTTAATATGTATTTACTATGAATTTCTTGACACCTCTGTGTATGATACTTTGCAAGGAATCAGAAACTTTATTTTACATACAAAGAATCTGAAGCTTCAGGTACAGAATGACATTCCCAGTGTGTAAGGTCATTGGTTTCCAATCTAGACTTTCTGTCCTGGCCTATTGACCAGACAATTACCTCTTTTGCTTTCTCTTTCTGCCATTCCATGTCCTCCACTGTGAAGAAGCAAGAACTGGACTCAGACTTTGTCTATGAAGGTACACTCCAGAAAGGGATAACTTAGGGAAGAGGAGAGACAGAAGACAGGCTGTAATCATTCCTCCTTCCCCCACAACTCCTCTGCAAAACCAAACCCAATGGCACTGGGACTCATCTTCTTCTGGCATAGATACTAGTATTCTTTACAGAGGGAAAACTCTTAATGCTCCCAATTTTGATTAAATTTGATGCTTTTGAAATATTATGTCTTTAGAAGTCTATACAAAAGGGGAAAAAAGAGCCCCAGAAACTACTTTCTGATATAGAGTTCTGGGAATCCAGGAATACCCAGAGATATCACACCTGGCTCAGTCCTTGTGCTTTACTTAGAAGCAGCTTCTATTATGAAGACAAGGGCTGTGTGGGTCCCCAGAGAAAGGTCTGCTTAGTAACCTCTGTGCCTGGGGTTCTAAAAGTCATCCATGTGATGGTAACCAAACAGGCTTATAGGAGAAAAATAAAGAAATCCAAAAAATCAACAAGGCATACATGCGTTCATACATCTATAATGTATTCAGGCTAGAATTCCATTCCAAGCTAATTGCTACGTAAATTAACAGACTAACTGAATTGCCTGAAAATTGTTATTTAGTTATGGGTAACATAATGTTGTGTATTAAATACAAACTATTTTGACCCTAGAGGAACTTTTATTTAAGAAGGGGGAGAAATTACGCCTTAAAGCTTTCATTTTTTTTTAAGCTCGCAGCCATCTGTTTGGGTGAAAGACTATATAAAGGCCAGTAATCACCATTATCCCTAATTATCTGTCACTAAAAATCTTTTTCAGTTTAGCATTAGCATTACATTTGAAGAAGCAGGCTTATTAACTCCTGGAATAGATTTGTATTCTCTGCAGAGACATGTAGTTTACAAAACACTTTGATGTTCTAATGTGGAGTCTGAGACCGAAAATAAAGTATCCAAGCCAACTGCACCTCTGTGGGTGGAGCTGCCTGATAGTCCTCCGACATAATCTTGAATCTGTGAGGTTGTAGATGGATGGCCAGTTACCAGGCAGACGCTAGGAACTGTCAGAGGTGTAACAGGTAAGGTTAGAACAAACTCTGGCCCTAGGGTGTAAGTCAAAAGCCTTTAAGATTCAGTGATTTTTGTGCCCCAAGAGAAAAAGGAAATATATGTTTGAATGTGGAATTATTAATAACACACGGAGTCAATTCAACATAGAAAGTATGCAAAAGTTCATTTAGGGTCAACACTGTCAAACCGAAGTATGTGCAAGACAAAGTTGTGGAAGATGGGAGACCAAGAGTAAGCAAAGAAGGCTGGTTTTCCCAACAGAAGAGAACATGCTTGCAAAATTGTGCTTAAAAGTAGAATCACACAGCCACTGAAGGAACACATAAGCAACCATGGCCTTTGACAAGTTCCTAGTTTGTAGTTCCATTCCCAGTGGTGTCTCATTTACGTGTGAGTTTTATATCCTAAAAATAAACCTCCTTACCAATTGGCATTAATTTGACTGGGTGTCTGTCCCTTAGAATCATTGAGTTTTGTCATCTATAAAATACTCCCACTGGGATGTAAACTCTTCCTTGAGACTTCTCTGAATCCTTTTGACTGGGATGGTTGCCTTGCTATGCTACCTTGAAGTGACCTGCCTGCTTCCCTATTCTGCCTTTTAGTCACCACCCCCTACCTAGAAGCCTCATCCCTACCCTTAGCCCTAGGGTAGAAGTGTTTTGTTATCTAAGGAAACTGGAGAAGCCCTAGTTCAGTTTATTATCATTGCTCTACTTAAAGTTAGAACAGTCAGATTAAGTTGTTCTTACAACCTCTCATCTCTATCCTGGCTTTGATAATTTGGTATGTGAGGTCCTTGTAACTGATCCTGCCTTGTCCTGCCCAGTCATTTTCTGAAATCCTAGTTCTAAGGTAGGGAACTCAGCCAGTTCTCCTTAATTTTAGTAACCTAGTGGTTCTCATGCTGGAGTGATTTCACCCCTAGTGCACATGAGGCAATGCCTGCTGTCCCAACCTGATGAGAGTGAGATGCTACTAACATTTACTGGGTAGAGACCAGGGATGCCAGTAAACATCCTACAGGTCACCAAACAGTTCCCACATCAAGGAATCATCCAGCCCCACATGTCGGTAATACAGAAACAAGAAAAACTTCTTCAGAGTACTGGGCAAATGATTTTGATCAAGTTATGTATTGACTTCATGCTTCAGAATTTCCTTCCATAACAATTCAGATATAGTTACTATAAGGATATCATAGAACCTAAGACTGTCTTCAGTACTCTGCCATAATTACATTTCTACAATGAAATAAAAAGCCTGTTAAATAATTATGCTGCTATATAACTATTCTTTCCTTATTACAGCTAGAGCTAAGGGTTGGAAAAAGTATTGGCAGTGATGAATTCCTTGTTTACTAATCAAACTTTTAAGGATGCTAAGGGCTTTGATAATGTTCTCCTTTTAAAAAAAAAAAATAGTAAAACATTATCCCCAGAGAAACAAGGAGAAGCAGAGGGACCCTGCAATCCCAAAGACAGGAGAAAGGAGCTGCTGACCCATGTGTGCTGACCCTGTTCTGCCCCTCACCCATACAGGTCGAACAGGCAGACCCAAGCCACGCAGCTCAGCATAAACTCATCAGCAGGGGCCCCTGCCCAGCCTGCTGTGGGGAAGGAGCAGCTCTTCAGCCCACATGGTGTGCTAGTCTACCACCTTACCTTCTGTCTGTCAGCTCAATGTCCATCCACACTGGGAGCAGCTAGGTTTGAGTATGTAAGAACCAAACACCTGAACATAGGAGACTCTTCAGGAATTCTTTCCCCATAATTCCCTTAGCAGTAAAAGGAAAGAAACTCCCTTTGAAAACCTGAACCCAAACTCCTACCGTGGATCCCACACTCCCACCCACAGTAGAAAAGGGAAATTGGCACAAGTTTACACGTATCACACAGTTACAGAAACATAGCCCAAAGTTAGAAGCGAGCACACCACAGGTGACTAAAACTCCAAGCAGGGCCCTAAGAAATAGAAAATCAGGAAACATTTCCCCCAAAAAAATCCTAACTCCCTTAAAGGATCATAATTCCTTACTAACAATGAATAAAACACAGGAGATCAGAGAAATGTCAGAAAAATAATTTAGACTATTCATCACAATAATACTGAATGAGATGCAAGGGAAAACAGAGAACTCATTCCAGGAAATGAGAAAATCCTTCCATGACTTGAAGGAGGAACTCCATAAAGAGATAGACACATTGAAAAAGAATCGAACAGAATTAGAGATAAAGAATACAATGGAGATAAAGAATACAATGCAGGAAATTAAAAACCTCCCTCGAAAGTATCAACAGCAGATTAGACAATGCAGAAGAAAGAATATCTGCTTTGAAGTAAAAATCTCTGATTTAGTCCCAGCAACCAAAAAGAATAGAAGAATAACTATTAAAAATGAGAACAATGGAGGGCCAGCAGTTAGCATAATGGCTATGTCGCTGGACTCCCACATAGTTGACCGCGGTTCGTGTCCCAGATCCGGTACCTTAAAACTCACGCCGGGCACGTGTGTCTGCATGCCCAAGATCCCGAGAGGAGAATGGAAGAGAAGGGATTGTGGTGTGGCCATCCCCCCTGGGGGGTGACTTCTCGCTTTCTGTCTCTCTTTCTCTCTCTGTCTGGCGAGCGCACGCGCCCTATCACAAAAACCTCTCAAAAAAAAAAAAAAAAAGAGAACAATGGGACCAGCAGTTGGCGTAATGGCTATGTACCTGGACTTTCATGTAGTTGACGGTGGTTTGAGTCCCAGATCCAGTGGTTTAAACTCACACCGGGCGTGTGTGCATGTGTGCCCAAGATCCCTAGAGGAGAATGGAAGAGAAGAAATTGCAGCATGACCATTCTCCTTGGGGGTTGATTTCTTGCTTTCTATCTCTCTGTCTCTCTCTTTCTGGCGAGCGTACATGCCCTATAGCAAAAAACACTCAAAAAAAAAAATGAGGTGTATAGTATTCTCAACTGGATTGGTCTGAGAAGTATTTCATGATGGGTGAAGTCTTTTTACAAGCAAAATGAGAAATAGTGATTGACTAAAAAATAATTGGAATAATAATAATAATAATGATTGGGAAAAACAATGAAAAAATATTGAGTGATGAAGTGGGGAGATTAATGTCTCTGTAATGACCGACATGCATGGCATTCCCTTTTGAAAAAGCAATGTAATACATTGCAAAGTTATATGCAATTCAGTGTAATATAAACAACACTATGATGATAAAAATAAACAAATAAATAAAAAATGAGGACAATATATGTGAAATCCTAGACACCATTAAATGACTGAATATCTGCACAGTAGATATTCCAGAAGGTGAAGAGACAGGTAAAGGCATATAAAACATCTTTCATAATATATTACCAGAAAACTTTCCAAATTTAGAGAAGCATGCAGACATCCAAATCCAGGTGATACAAAGGACACTAAGTAGGTAAAACATAAGATCCTCTTCCAGTCATGTATCATAGTCAAATTGGTAGAAATCAGCCAAAGAGAAAATTCTAAAAATGGCAAGAAAACAAGGTCAAGTTACTTACAAAGGTTACCCCATTAAATTAACATCAGATCTCTCAGCTGAAACAATACAGTCAAGGAAAGAAAGAGAAGATATATTTAAAAACTGAAAGAAAAGCAATTTCAAAATCATTCTCAGGTAAACAAATACTGAAAGAATTCTCAAAACAAAACCAGCTCTTGAGAAGATACTTAAGGAACTACTCTGCCATAAAAGCTAAAGAGAGACAAATAGAAATAAAAGAACACAAGAAAACTAAGAAAAAAAAAAAAGGATAAGTCCACATATATTGATTATAACATTGAATGTTGGGACTAAATGCAGATTGAACTATTTTACACACAAGCAGGTTTAAATAAAAGTCCACCAATTATTTAATAGATAGCTGTCTCCACAGGTTTCAATTTAGATACTTATTAAACCATTACTCATTGTATAATACTCAATAATACAGGAAAAAGTCTAAAATGTTACAGCTTTCTTTGGAATTAATTCAAAAAAAGGCTAAAATCAAGAACTTTGTAAAGCCTATAAATGTACCAAATCATTGCCTTCACCATGTCTTCACTTTAAACATCTCTTTCCAACTTTAGTTTATTTTTGCTTTTTCAAGGACTTAGGTTTTTATGCACAGTACAGTACTATGGTCTTGTAAGGACTCAGTGTGTGTGTACAAGCATTCTTTCCAACTTTACTTTTGCTTTTTCAAGGACTTAGGTTTTTATGCACAGTACAGTACTATGGTCTTGTAAGGACTCAGTATGTGTGTACAAGCATTCTTTCCAACTTTACTTTTGCTTTTTCAAGGACTTAGGTTTTTATGCACAGTACAGTACTATGGTCTTGTAAGGACTCAGTGTGTGTGTACAAGCATTCTTTCCAACTTTAGTTTATTTTTGCTTTTTCAAGGACTTATGTTTTTATGCACAGTACAGTACTATGGTCTTGTAAGGACTCAGTGTGTGTACAAGCATTCTTTTTCTGTCTCTTTCTAATGAGCTGTTACATACAATTTTATGTTCCTCTTACTGGGCCAATGATCAATACACACAGATTTTTTTTTCCAGATTATAAACTCTTACTGTCCACAGTCCTCTACCTGAAAATTACAAATTCTTCTTTCATTGGCTATGTTACGATTATCTTTGTTAATTTATGAGATCACTTGTTGCCTGATTTTTAATCAATGTTTTTCTTTAGAACTGTGTCCCACAGTAAAGATTGCCTTAGACAATTCAGTATATACTTGCAGAATAACCATTGGAGAGGGTTTTGAACGTTCACAACACAATAAAATGCTCAATGTTGAAGGTGGTGAATATGCTTATATCCTTGATTTATTATACACTATATATATGCTTTTTAAGAACATTCTGCACCCTACAGATGTGTAATGATTATATGTAAATCATAAATTACAATAAATATTTAAAGAGAAAAAATTAAAACATTTTTTATTGTGATAAAATCCACATGAAATAAAATTTACCATTTTAATGTTTTTTTTATTATTTTTTTTTAATGTTAGATAGTGCGTGTGTCTTCGTGAATGAGAGAAAGAAATATCACCTTGGGTCTTGTCATTACTTGATCCCCTTTACTCAGCCTTCCAGCTTCTCAGGACCTTGGGCACAGGCATGAATATCCTACCTGTTTTCAGAACCACCTGAGGACCCAAACCTGTGGTCAGCCAAGTGGCTTCCAGCACTGCAGTCCCGACTGCTGTAGATTGCCTTGTCTAGACTGGACCTCATCTTAATGATTTTTAAGTGTACAATTCAGTGGTATAAAGTACATTGATATTGTTGAGCAACAATCACTATCATCTATCTCCAGAATTCTTTTCTTCTAAAGTTGAAGCTTTATATCCATGAAACATTGACTTTCCCATTTCTCCCTCCTCTAGCCCTGGCAAACACTATTCTACTTTCTGTCTCTATTATTCTAAATGAAATGATATAAATAAGATCATACAGCATTTGTCTTTTTGTGGCTGGCTAATTTCTCTTACTATAAGTTCTTTCCTTACTGAAGCATATGTTAGAATGTTTCCTTCTTTTTTACATCTGAATAATGCCTTATTTAAATACATACCACATTGTTTATTCATCCATCTGTGAAGGGCTCCTGGGTGACTTCCACACTTTAGCACTTGTTAATAATGCTTCTGTGAACCTGGGTGTGAAAATCTCTCCTCAGGATCTTGATTTCAATTCTAGAGATATATACCCAGAACTGGAATTGTTATATAATATGGTAATTCCTTTTTAAAAATTGCCAGAAGGTGTGTACAGTCACCAGAGACAAAGAGTGAGTAGGTCCCCGCTCTGTGGCAGATGGTTACACCTTGATCCCTTTTCCATATCTCCCTTCTTTTGGGGTTTTTGGCATGCACACACATATACCTACCATGTTTGTTGAAGCCTCTGGGTCTGGGATTGAAACCACGTCATTGGTCATGTGGAATCCAGCCGCCTCAACCACTGGCTATCCCATGGTAATTCTCTTTTGAAGTTTTCCATTTTTTTTTTTTTTGAGAGGTTTTTGCTATAGGGTGTGTGCACTCACCAGAGAGACAGAGACAGAAAGCGAGAAATCAGCCCCTGAGGAGATGGCCATGCCACAATCCCTTCTTCTCCATTCTCCTCTCAAGATCTTGGATACACATGCACATGCACCCAGCGTGAGTTTAAGCCATCAGGTCCGGGGACTCAAACTGTGGTCAACTACATGGGAGTCCAGCAACATAGCCATTACGCCAACTACTGGTTACTCTTTTTAAGTTTTCAAAAGTAACTGCCATATAGTTTTCTACAGTGGTGAAACTATTTTATGTTTCTGCCAATAGAGTACAAGGGGTCCCATTTTTCCACATCCTCTCCAACAGTTACTATTTTCTGTTCTACATGTTTGTTTTTAAGGGTTTTTTTTTTTTTTTTTTTTTTTGTCATTGGGAATGTGTGCTCACCAGGGAGAGACATGAGAGGCAAAGTGAAAAGTCACCCCCTATAGGGGATGGCTATGCCACAATCTCCTCTCCTCCATTCTCCCTGGATTTTGGGCACACATGCACACACGCCCAGTGTTATTCTCAAACTGCCAGGTCCAGGACTCAGGCCACAGTTAGCCATGTGGGAGTCCAGTGCTTTAACCACCACACCACTTGCCAGCCTTGTGTTTGTTTTTTAAGTACCTATCCCAATGAAAGTGTAGTGATATCTCACTTTAGTTTTGACTTGCATTTCCCTGAAGATTAATGATTTGAATATATTTTCATATGTTTATTGGCCATTCGTATAGGAGGAATGTCTGTGTAAGCCCTTTGTCCAATTTTGAATTGGGTTGTTTGATTTTTTTTTTTGTTATTGAGTATGTTTTTCCATATATTCTAGATACTAATCTTTTACCAGATACATAATTTGCATACATTTCCTCTCATTCTGTAGGGTGCCTTTTACTCTGTTGAGAGCATCTTTTGATGTACAAAAATTTTCAGTTTTCATCAAGTCCAGTTAGTCTGTTTTTCTTTTGCTACCTATGCCTTTGATGTCCTATCTAAGAAATCATTACCAAATCAAATGTTGTGAAGCTTGTGTACTATTCTTTCTTGGAAGATTTTTATAGTTCATATGTATTCTCCTCTTAATTCACTTTTAAAGCTTTGTTTTTTAAGGTAAAATCTGCAGCTTAAAAATGTCCTGAGTTGTGACCAGCAGTTAGTGCAATGGCTATGTCGCTGAACTCCCATATGGTCGACCACAGTTGGAGTCCTGGACCCAGTGGCTTAAACTCCAGGCACATGTGCGTGCATGCTCAAGATCCCAAGAGGAGAAGGGATTACAGCATGGCCATCCCCCCTGGGGGGTGATTTCTCGCTTTCTATCTCTCTGTCTCTCTCTTTCTGGCGAACTCACGTGCCATATAGCAAAAACCTCTCCAAAAAAAAAAAAAAAGTCCTGAGTTGAGGCTGGCAGGTGGCATGGTGGTTAAGGGCACTGGGTTGCCACATGGCAGACAGTGGTTCAAGTCCTGGACCTGGCGATTTGCTTTCTCGCTTCCTCCTTCTCTCTCTCTTTCTCTCTGTCCTTTTCTGGTCAAATTAAAATAAATAAATAAAGTTCAATAAATAATAGTAAAATAATTCTTAAAAAAATGTCCTTGGTAAAATACATGCAGATATATTACCCATTGACAAAACCTAAAGGTATTTAGTTTGTGCGTGTGTGTGCGAGTATGTGTGTTTGAGTGCACATGCACATGTGTATGCTGAAGCATGTGTTTTAGGGTATCCCTTGCTACTAGAAATAGAAAAGGCTTTTAACATTGGTACAGGAAAACATAGGTATGTTAGATAGGGTAGGTTAACTGGTAAACAAATACACTTCAAAACGTGGAGGTTAAAATTTAAAAAGAAATCTATTTCTTGCTTAACATCCCAAACGAGTATTTCCATCGACAGCAGGCTCTCCTCACAGTGATGATTCAGAGACACGTGCTCCTTCCTTCCTTTTTGTGCCATCTTTAACACATGATTTCCAGGCTGCTGTGTACATTGACACCATATGTTTGGAAGGAGACAGAGAGGACAGCGGCCATATCTGCTTCTTAAACCTCGTGCTTTGGAGGTGACACACATACCATCTACTCCCAAATCTTGGACCAGAACTGATCACCTGATGCTTCCTAGATGCAAGGCAGCTGGGAAATATAAACTCTGAGAGCACAGATGCTTTCCAGTGGCTGCTTTAATCCTGCACTGCCCAGTGTGGTAGTTACCAGCCACATGTGACCATGGGACACTTGGAACATGGTTTATCCAAATTGACACATGGACTTTTATGACTTAGCCTAAAACTGTAATAGACTGCAAATATCTCACTGATAATTTTTACATCAATTTTATTTCAAAATGGCAAAATTTTGTTAAATAAAATACATTATTAAAATAATTTCCACCTTTAAAAAAATATTTTAAGAGAGATTTTT